TGCTGCTGCTGCAGCTCTTGCTCCTGGGGCTGCTGCAGCAAGGCGTCAGCTGCACTGTATGCTCTGNCTGCTGCTGCTGCTGCAGCTCTTGCTCCTGGGGCTGCTGCAGCAAGGCGTCAGCTGCACTGTATGCTCTGCACATGTGTTTAAACTCTATTAAATGAAGAATATAAATGTGTAAATACAAAAGAAATATAATAAACAACAACAACGTAAGCTAGCCTGTTGCTGCTGCTGCGGTGGCAGCGATGGCTACCGCAGCTGTACATACACCCCAGCAGCCGCTTCTCTGTATTTTATTAGGAAGCTTTGAGGGGGAATAAGTGAGAGAAATAACACAACTAGAAGCAGCAGGAGCAGCAGCAAAAGAAAATATAAAAAAGAACAAATGCTGCTGCAGCTTTGTTAGTGGTTGCTGCTGCTGCATGTATTGTGTGCGTACATAGAAGGGGCAGTGAAACAAGAGAAAACGGCTGCAGCAGAGGAAAACAAAGAACTCACTGGAGTTTGTATTTATATGAATTGCTTCGCCTAATAAACAAAACCCTTTAAGAGCAGGCTGAGGTGTACATACAGCTGATGAGAGGAGGGGACTGGTGGCGAGCCATCTGCTGCTGCTGCTGCTGCTGCTGTTGCTGCTGCTGCTGCTAGGAGTTAGGCCGAAGACGCGAGGGGGAAAAGGGTTAAAATGCCCCTAAAAGGAGCAAAGAAAGCAGACAAACAAATACCAAAAAGGGAGAGAAACGGAGAAGCCTCCCTGCTGCTGCTGCTGCTGCAGCGGAGGCAGCGACCGCAGCCGTCCTCAGCGCGGTCAAGAGGATAGCCAGGAGAAACGGGAGATAAATACTTTCTTTTTTTTATTTTTTTATGGAGTTTCAGGTTTATATTACAATAAAATTAAACACAAAACACACATTTCATCTTATTTTTTTCTCTCCTCACCCTCGCATACACCCCGACGGCCACTGGGCCTTCGACGTAGCACAAGCCGAGCCGGTGTCGCCATCGACGGACTGTCAGTGCTCGTTTTTCGCGGAAAAAAAGAAATTAAACTTTTATAATTCTTGAAATGTATTTTAAAATGCTTTTTTCTAGCTAATTTGCATTCTAAAAAGGTATTATAAGCCCGCTTCCTCCTCCCCCGCCCCCACAGTATAGACCGCTCCTAGCCACTGCCTCGCGCTGCCTATACACCCGGATCATCTGCCTCTCTCAGCATTTATAAATAAGAAAAAAAACACATTTGCAAGCAAATATAATCATTAAAAACTCAAATAAACATTCTAAACCCTCAACGCCCCCCAACGGACCACACACAAACACACCCGCGGCGGCTGCGACACCGCCCGAGCTGTACATACACCCCAAAGATGAGTTCAACTATACAAACAACAGCAACAACTGCACTCTTCTGCATGCAGCCACTTCTTTCTTCTTCTACACTTTTTAGTGCATGGCCAGGGTGCTGAAGCAGCCCCGATCAAACCGAAACAACCATATACACAGCCGTAAACCCTAAACCCTAAACCCTAAACCCTAAACCCTAAACACTCAACAGCTCCTCAGCTGTTTCACAACCGCAACGTAACCATTAAGACAGAACATGAATTCTCTTGAGTTGTAGATAAAGCAAAGGTAAAGAAGCTAGGGGGCCCGCATCAGCCCCAAACGAAAACAAAACCCCTACAGCAACTGCTGCAGTTGGTGCTGCTGTTTCTGCTGATACCACTAAGGCTACTACTAATGTTGCTGCTGCTGTTGTTGCTGTTGGTGCTGTTGCTGCTGCTTCGGTCGTTAACGCTTCTGCTCCTGCTACTCCCACCGCTGCTGCTGCTGCTGCTGCTGCTGCTGCTGTTGCTGCTGCTGCTCTGTACTAGGGGACAATGGCGAGGAGTGCAGCGTCTCGAAGTGGGGCGCGCGACAGGGGGCCTGCGACAGCTTGCAAGCCAGCTCAGATGGCTAGCTAGCTAGCTAGCTAGCCAGCTAGCCATCTGGCTAGCTAGCTAGCTGCCACATCATCTGGCTAGCTAGCTAGATATAGATACCTAGATACCGCTCCTAGCGGGCTCCTATGGGTGTATGGCGCTCAGCTGACGTCTCTTCTTTGGGAGCGCCCGTGAGTATGTGCAGGTTCGGGTTTAGGGTTTATTAGGGTTTAGGGTTTAGCTAGGGTTTAGGGTTTAGCTAGGGTTTAGGGTTTAGTTAGGGTTCAGGGTTTAGCTAGGGTTTAGGGTTTAGGGTTTATACGCTGAGGATAAAAGCAACGCAGCAGACAAAGACAAAGACAAAGACACCCCTTAAACCCTAACATCTACAGGGTCTCCTCTTGAATGATATAAACTCCAATAGAGTGGAGGGGCCCCCTCACGGGGGCCCCTCCTCCCGGGGGCCCTGGGGGGCCCCCTGAAGCGCCCCCTTGGGGCCCCCCTGTGGGGCCCCCAAGGGGGCCCCCCTGGGGGCCCCCGTTGTTCAGGAGGCGTGCAGAGAGTTTGTATTTTTTAAGGAGAGAAAAGAAGAGATTGTCTACAGCTGTGGATCGAGTTTGGTGAGCTAAGAGTGCAAAGGGGAGCCGCAGCAGCTCCTCTTTGAGTTCCTCTGGGGCCCCCGGTGTGCCTAGGGGGCCCCCGGGGGGCCCCCCATCCGTGCCTGTCTCTCGGGGGGCCCCATGTGGGGGCCCCCCTGGGGCCGCGTTGGGGGCCCTCTTATTCGTAGTCAGCAAGAATGCAAGGGTCTGTACAAAGGGCTCAACCAGCTCCCGCAGCCACAACACATCCGCAGCAACAACAAAGAAATCACCCCGGGGGGGCCCCCCAAGGGGGCCCCATGCAACACACTGCTCAGGGCAGAACCAATCAAGGGCCTCCACTGCAACCCGTACCCGAGGCCCCTCAGCCGTACCTAGAGCCCGCTCTACGCGACCCCCAAGGGGCCCCTCTAGGGGCCGCCCTGGGGGGCCCCCTGGGGGGCCCCCAGGACCTAGAGCCCGCTCTACGTGACCCCCAAGGGGCCCCTCTAGGGGCCCCCCTGGGGTGCCCCCTGGGGGGCCCCCTGGGGGGCCCCCTGGGGGCCCCTTTGTTGCTGGATTTTTTTCTTGATTTGCCGCTGAGAGCTCAACGAGCTCGGCGAAGTGTCTGTTGAGCTTAACAGCAGCGCGGAGGCCCTGCATGCAGTAATCCAAGTCAGTGAGCAGCACATCACAGCTGCGGTGTCTTGGGGGGCCCATGGGGCCCCGGGGGCCCCCAGCTGTACCCTCCGGCGCTGCGGGGGGCCCCTCGGCCCCCCTGCCAGCCAAAGCAGTCAGCGCAGCAGCCACGCTCAAACCAACGAGGCCCTTCCCCGCACCCAGCTCAATAACAAGGGGGAAAGAAGTCTCTTGGGGCCCCCCTGCGGGGCCCCCCGAGAAACCCTCTGCGGAGCCCGCTGTGGGGCCCCCCGAGGGGCCCCCAGACGGGCCCACCACTGAGGGGGCCCCAGAGGGGCCCCCAGAGGGGCCCCCCGATGGGCCCACCACTGAGGGGCCCCCAGGGGGGCCCCCCAAGGGGCCCCCAGGGGGGCCCCTTGAGGGTTTGACGCTGAAGGTGTTGAGCAAGAGGGGGATTTGGTTTTGTATGAACTGCGCCAAGACGACGGCCGCATCCCAGACGGAGGAACCTGTAGATACACCGCAAGGAGAGTGGTTTATTTATGAGTGTATAAATGAGGGTTAGTAAATAAACACTTTTTAGTTTTTATTATTTTATCAGCTCGTGAGCTCTGTGGTTGCGCCGTATGAGTTTAAAGGAATCTATAATGGCAGCTGCAGCAGCAACAGCAGCAACAGCAGCAGCTGTTGCTGCTTCTGCTGCTGCAGCTAAAGAAAACAAAGAACCACCGCCTCACCCGTGTCACCGTTGCACTGCTCCTCAGGGGGCCTCGAGGGGCCCCCCACCGGCAGCAGCACGGGGAGGCCCCCCACACAGAAATCCCCATCGAAGTTGTAATCAAAGATACGCCAAGGCAGAGCCAAAGGAGGAGGAGGGGGGCCCCCCATGGGCCCCCCCGATTCCGCTTTCCTAGGAGGCCCCTCGTGCTGCTCTCTATCGCACAAGTAAAGGGGGCCCCCAGCAAGGTGCTTCACAGGGGGCCCCCGGGGGTGTTCGGGGGGCCCCTCAGGGGGCCCCCCACGAGGCCCCTCACGGCTCTGCTCGGGGGGCCCCCCAGGAGGCCCCACGGGGGCCCCCTCAAGGGTACTTTCCGGGGGCCCCCCACTGGGCCCTTCAGAGATATTCTCAGGGGGCCCCCTTCGGCCCCCGTCTAGGGGGGCCCCCTGTGGGGCCCCGTGCATGAGGGTTTCTGTGTTTGTGTGTGTGCAGGTGACCCCGTGAAGGGTTTGTGGTATATATTGTTATTTATTTGCTTTACGCGGATATTTTTGATTGAATTTAATTAAATAATAAATATTTTATATAAATATTTATTAAATAATGAAGGTTTATAAGACTAACGCCGCATGGCTCAGGGTACAGCTGGCGGCGGGGGGGG